CTAGAAAACTAGCCGATACCGTGTAAATAGGCACCCTGAAAAAGCAATGCAGCCGGTAACAAAGAAGCAATAAAGGAGCCGAGCTTCTCAAATGAGACTAAGAGAAGGGGAGGAGGGGGGGGGGGACCAGACTAGCTCAGTTTGTCCTCTCCACCCCCTTTGATGCAGATGCTGGAAGAGATGCCTCTAGCCGCCTCCTAGACAGAATTCGCAGCAATTTAAACCAAGAGATACCAGATAATGCAGATGGAACGTAACCGCGGTTTTTTTTCCCTTAGTGAAGAAAATCAACAGGCTCCAAAGTGCATTTTACAAGCGCCTGGATGTTAATGGATTTATCCAGATTACGTTTCGGTTCGGGAGTGCCACATGTTCACAAAAGGGGTCGGTTTTCTTCCACTAGCTCTGCCGACTGCCTGCCCGGGTTCCCTAAAGGACGATAAGCTATGCTTGTTGGCACTATGCATGTCTGCAAAAAAAAAAAAAAAAAGCCAGCTTTAGGGGAATATACAGAGTGAATAATTCATCGAATTGAAGCAGCGTGTTCCCTCCCCTTTTCAAAAGGGAGAAAAATGAAGATGAGAACACAAGGAACGCGTTTTGCACGAATGGTTTTCCATCAGGAGATCCATATTCCCGGAGTAGATTAAACTGGAGAAAGGAATTGTATTTGAAAGAATGCCGCGGGGGAGAAATGGCAATGAGGAAGGAAGGAGGAGTTTGATGTAAAAAACAAATGCCTTGTGGTGTATTTTGCCCGCAAGAAATGAAATATTCCTTGACTGAGTGCCATCTTGCTAAAAATACTAGGATGTTGGCAGTACCGGGGAAGGGGGTCTGAAATAGCGGCAAATGCATTAATCTGCACTCATCACACAATGAAACGAGGGGGAGGGGAGAGAAAAAGTATATGCCGTTAATCTTGAATTCTTTCTCTCTGCTTTTTTCAAACCAACAGCCCACCGGCTTCTTAATAACGTTTTCGAGAGAATATACGTAATTCGGTCGACCCCCCCCCCTTTGGTACGTGCTTTGCAAGCAACGAGGCGAGAGATTTTTTTCCCCGACATTTCTTATGGCTCCACTGTAGTGATTTAAACCCAAGGGATAGAAGAAGCAACTCAGCAAGGATTAAGCTGGAGATGAACTCTTAGGCAGTTAAGCGCATCTGCTCGCACTGATGTGGGGTTGTGGGGAAATGAGAAACTCTTGATAGGATCTGCTGCCTCTTGCTGAAGATAAGCCGCCCCTTTCTTTCGAAATCCAGAATCTTGGAATTGTCATACAAACCATCATGGCTCCGACAAGCAACATATAAAACGATTTAGATCTGAGCTCCATTGAGCTGGAAGCATTTTCAGTTACACGTGGATGCTATTTAGGCACACACAGAGAAACGGACATTCCTACTGTACTAGCTTCCTCATCTAAAAAAAATGGTTTCGCATTCTCGGCAGTTTCCAAAAAGATTGAAATCAAAGCTAATCAGGCAGCGAAATTTAATTAGAGCCGTAGGCTCCTCGCATTTTTTTTCCCACTCTGTATTGTTGGGGGAAGGGATTATGCAAACGCCAAGGTAACAGCAGCAGCTGCTTTAAGCATTTTTCACATCTGGCCTACAGACCTCATAATTTTCAACTCATGATCTCCCTTAGCGAAACTCGATCTACGTGGTTTAAATACCTTCCAAATTGGGAGAATTGAACAATTGCAACCAATTAAAGGGGGGAAAGGACCAACCCTCCCTATCTGTTGATATTTTTTTTTCCTGGAGAAGCTGGAGTGGGCTGGAGGAGGAATAGAGGGGGCGGCAGCGGGGGCGAGAAAATGAAATCACAAACGCACACAAGTCAAACCATTGTCTCTAACTTAACAGGGGTGGGGAGGGGGAGAGACTCAAGACACCAAACTGAGGCTACCAGCCCTGCAAGTCAAAATCCTCTCCCCCCCTTTTTTTTTACGGAGTGTTTGTTCATCACTACCGTAGGGGCAGTAAACACCGTGTATTCTTCGATTTTTCTTTTTAGCAAGAAATCAGAGTACAAGTCTTAATGCCACTAATTTATTTATGTTCTTCGGAGTATTAATTATCAGTCCAAGGCCGATTTCAAATTATTGCAATCGCAGCTCCATTGTTCGCTCCAATTGGAGGCCCCGCCCTCTCTTTTGTCTGGCGGCGCGTTGATTGGTGGACGGCGGGTGGGGGCTGCCGTCAGTGCTTGGGAAGCCCATTCATCTGTGCACTTGGGCGTTGGACTCCGCATCTTATTAGCGACCAGGGAGATTTCTCCATTTTCCCCTTGTCTACAGTACGGCTACAAATCTGGGATTTTTTTTTTATTACTTCTCTTTTTTTTTGTACTAAACTTGGGCTTCTAATATTTTTGCTCGACTATTTTCTTGCCTTTTTATCCCCCCTTTCTTCCTCTGCTGCTGCCTTTTTTGACCTCTCCAGCTTTATTAAAAAAGGAGTGCATATATTTAAACATATTCGGCTCTCTTCTCTTTTTCCCCCTCCTCCCCCACTGGTGTGTGTGTGTGCGCGCGCGCGCGTGTGTGTGTGTATCGCTGCTCTTCAGGCTGCTGGTCGCCCAGCATTTATACGAACGAACCTACTGTTCTTTGTTTGCCTTCTTTTGGATCTGCCGAGTTTCTTTGTTGAATAGACCAGCATGGGTGCCCAGTTCTCTAAGAACGCTGCAAAAGGCGAAACTACTGCTGCTGAAAAACCCGGAGAAGCGGTAGCTGCATCTCCCTCAAAGGCGAACGGACAGGTAAGAAGAGGAGCGGCTCATGGATTGTTACTGGTTTCTGGGCTGAGTGCAGTGTTTATTCTGCTTCCCCCTTTCTCTTTCGGGGAGGGGGTGCGTGGCTTTTAAACTGATCACAACTCCCTCTTTAAAACAGATAGGAGTGGCTTTTTATGGCACCGTTTCTATGTGGGATCTTCTTTTGAACCAGTTGTATGTGTAATGCAGTGGTAAGGGGGACAATGCAAGATTCTTGCCTACTGTAGGATGTCCTCTTCTTGATAGCTGGTCTCCGCAGGAACGCTTTACCCCCCCCCCTTTTTTTTTGTATGTATGCGCTTTGATGGCTGAATTGAATGTGCTCTCCGCGGTTTCCTGTACTTTAATCGGCTGTTGCCCCCATCCCCGCCTTTGGCGCGTAAGGGAGATCTAGTGGATCTTGATGGAACAGCCGGAGATACCTGAAAGCAAGACTGAGGTTAGGGGCGCTGGAGAGTTGTCCGCGGATAGAGGAAGGGGCTGTCGTGCGTAAACTGTCCTTCTCCATCTTGCTGGCTGGGTTTACTCAAAGCTTAAGCTTGGACTCTGGTGGCCTCTTCTTAATTCCCTTTCGCTGTAGCCAGTTTAACGCGGCTGCTCTTCTGGAATTTGGCGACTTTAGGATGAGAATGCGGAGAGGCGTTGCGTGTGCGAATGTAAATTGGCGCAGTTCCTGGGGAACTGGCTCGCGTGTGTCCTTCGCCGCGGCATGAACCGGGGACACTTTTGGGGCTTGCGAGGGTGTTGTAATCCGCCCCGTCTCCAGGCGCTTTGTGCTCGTTCCAGTGTGTCTAGGGCATTAGACGTGTACCACCCGTGCTCTCGGCCAGTGCCAGCTTGGCCGCGCTATGCCACCCTGTAGTTGCTCCAGAAAGAACCTTTGAGGCGCGCTCAGCCCAGAGACGCGCGAGCAACAGATGTGATCGTGAGTGGCGGCAGCGCCTCTTGCCTTGATTAAACCAAGGCGGAAAGGAGGTTGCCCGTTTTCTGCTTTGGAACTGAGGAAGGTGATAGGAGAAAGGAAAACGGCTTGGAGAAGCGACGGGCAGCTTTGTTCGCTCATTGAAGCCGCTTCTGGCCGAGGCGCAAGCGACGCTTCGCTCGCCCTTCTCGCTCCTCCCTCAGCGTTGTTCAGGGCTGTCCCACCGTCGGCCTCGAGCTGTGCAAGACGGAGCCACAGTGCCCTCTAGAGGCGGGCGCTCGCTGGTAGCGGCTTCGATCGGTCGCGCAGGGGGAACGCGGACGAGGGCCGTGCGATGTGTCTCGAGATGACGCGGTCTTCCCGCCGCGTAGCCCCCTTAAGAGATGAGCTGGAGGAAAGGCGTGGGGCGTGGCTTGGCTCGGCTTGGCTCAGCTCTGGGTGGCGCGTTCTCCCTTCTTCACAGCCTTGGCGACACGTCACGCGCTTTCCTCCAAGAAAGCAGCGGGAAGGCCTGCGGCAACGTGCTGCCACAGACAAGGAATTTGACTCGTTCTTGCCCTGCCTCTCTTAACAGCTTGTAATCCTTGGCTGGTTTGTTTGTTTGTTTGTTTTTTTGGTGGCTTCGAGTCAGCCTTGACTCCTGGCGACTGCCTGGACAAGTCCCTGCAGTTTTCTTGGCAAGGTTTTGTGGAAATGGTTTGCCATTGCCTGCTTCCTAGGGCTGACAGAGAGTGACTGGCCAAAGGTCACCCAGCTGGCTTCATGCCTAGGGCAGGACTAGAACTCACAGTGTCCTGGTTTCTAGCCTGGGGCCTTAACCACTACACCAAAGTGAGGCTGCTGGGGACAGGGTTCCAGGACTGAGCCGCTCCACTTCTGCTTCGGAGAAGTGGCAGGCAGTGTTTGGCCTTCCAGATTGGAGTTCGACTCCCAGAATCCCCCAGAGGGTAGAGCTTCTGGGAGATGAAGTCCAGCCGGAGACTGCCTTGTGCTGGGCCCAAGAGAGCTTGCCCTCCACTAACAGTCCTTTTCATCTTCCAGGAGAATGGCCACGTGAAGGTGAATGGCGATGCTTCCCCAGCAGCTGCAGAGGCCGGCAAGGAGGAAGTCCAG